GGGAGTCATGTAAATCACCCCAAATTGAGAAACCATGTTCTAGTAGTATTACCTAGTCTGAGTCTAAATATGTTGCATGTACTATTTTATACTGTGTTCCAGTATACTAATCATGTTACACTTCCTTAAAGCACTAGCAGAGCTAATGAAAGTAGAAACTAATTCTGAATCCTCTGAAGTCCATCTGGCCAGGGTCATCACCAACAGCAATGTCTGAGATATTCTTTCTCAGCAGGTGTACAGGGAGGAGAAACTAACCAATTCAAACCAAACTTTGAAAGGATATCAAGTTCTAAGTTCCTATAAGGAGCACAAATTAATATCCTCATAAAGGCAAGCACAAGAGAGCAAGATAGAAAAATGACAATAAAGTCACCAGATCTGATAAGAAACAGACCAAAAATACTCAAAATTCAAAAACGGGGATTTGAGGATAGAGAACTTTTTACCTCCAATATCACTGACATCGCAATGAACCCATCCCTAAGTGTATATTGCTTTTGTAATACATATCATTGATAACAGTACAACACATGTTCTGTAAGCAGGGGACCCAGGTTCAATCCTTAACATCATTGGGACTACTTTTAAGCAAAAGTTTAGAAAAGCCCCTGTTCACCACCAGATATGGCCCCAAACCAAAGCCAAACAAAATTAAAAAGTTTGTAAACTGCAGCAAATAACACTATCACTATAATCATTTTACAAAACAATAGCATTTACAAATACTTTTAAATACATACTTTCAATTCATACTTTATTGCTTTAAGGGGGTCTCACCCTGCAGTGCTCTCAGGGGCTACTCTTGGCTCTGCATTTAGAAAGTACTCCAAGTGGTGCTTAGGGGACCATATGGGATGCTGGGGATCAAACCCAGGTTGGCTGCATGCAAGGCAACCGACCTCCCCCACTGTACTATAGTTCTGGCCCCTATACTATAATTTTAAAACATACTATATTACACACACACACACACACACACACACACACACACACACTTGATGCTTGCTTTTTATTCCTATCAAGCCCTAAATCATCTTCAAAATCTTAGCTAGATCAAGCTCTACTGAAATAGCCCTGAAGGGTTTTATATCTTTTATTTACTTTTTATTGAATCACCATGGGATACAGTTAAAAAGCTTTCATGACTGAGTTTCAGTAATACAGTGATAAAATACCCATCCCTCTACTAGTGTACATTTCCCACCACCAATGTCCTCAGTATCCCTCCTGCCCCACCCCATCCCACCCACTGACTTTATGGCAGGCACTTTCCTTTTTACTCTTTCTCTACTTTGGGGCATTATGGTTTGCAATACAGATACTAAGAGACCATCATGTTTGGTCCTTCGTCTACTTTCAGCACGCATCTCCCTTCCTCCCAAGTGATCTCTCCAACCATCATTGACCTAGTGGTCTCTTCTCTGTCCCAACTACCTTCTTCCCCAGCACATAAGGCAGGCTTCCAACTGTGGAACAATCCTCCTAGCCCTTGTCTCTACAGTCTTTGGGTCTCATACTATGTTATTTTATATTCCACAAATGAGTGCAGTCATTCTATGTCTATCCCTCTCTGACTCATTTCACTTAGCATGATACTCTTCATGTCCATTCACTTATAGGCAAATTTCATGACTTCATCTTTTCTAACAGCTCCACTGTATTGTATTCCACTGTGTAGATGTACCATAGTTTCTTTAACCAATCACCTGTTCTTGGGCACTCAGGCTGTTTTCAGATTCCGGCTACTGTGAATAGTGCCTCAATGAATATACAAGTGCAGATGTCATTTCTATTGTGCTTTTTTGCACCCCTGGGATACATTCCCAGGAGTAGTATTACTTGGTCATATGGAAGCTCAATATCTAGTGTTTTTTTTTCCAGAATGCCCATATTGTTTCCTCTGAAGGGTTTTAAATAAAATTAAGATCAAAATGTAAAAATGTGAAAAGGGATGCACATTTTTTCCCACCAAAGGGAAATTTTTCTGGAAATAAGAGCAGAGAATTTAAGAAACACAAAAACTTCAAACTAAATTTGTCTCTAATGCAGTTTAATCAGTAACCTGAAACGTCCATAATCTAAGAAAGGTGATGGTGATGTGGCGGATTTCCCAAATAAAATTCATCATACATTTGTGCAGGACCAGGGGTAGAATCCAGGGTCTCACACATGCAATATCAAGGTGTCTCTCAATCTTTTTGCGGAAGTGTCCCCTTCCAACCTTGTTTCCTTCCTGTGGCCCCTTCCAGTATCAAGTATTCATGTAGTATCTATCATACATTTAATACACATGTAGTACTAATATACATCTAGTAATAGCCATTATCTAGTAGACATGTAGTAACTAGCTTAGCATACATCTAGTGTACAAGAAGCACTAATATATATTTGGTGTACACTTAGCATTTAGTTGATATAGTTGACAAATAGTACTAGTACACATCTGATATATATTTAGTAACAAAAAAGTCTCACAATGGAGACGTTACTGGGCCCGCTCGAGAAAATCGATGAACAATGGGAGGACAGTGCCAAGATCTAGTATACATGTATCTAGCATACATTAACTTACATTTAGAATATAGGTAGTAATAACACACATGTAAAATCTAGTATACATATAGTACTAGTCCACATGTAGTATCCAGTATATATGTAGTACAATGGAGCAGCAGTGAATCTCAAAGGTCTTAGGCATTAAATCATCTCTGAGTGACCCTCAGGCCCCTGATACTGCTTAGGGTGCCTCCAAAAATACCTTTCATTTGGACAAGTTTAGTGCACAAATGTCCAAATCACCATTACAAAAAAGAAAGGAAAATACAAGTAACAATAAGAACACAGCAGGATCCAAGATAAAACAGGATGTGTTGGATTTCTTACCTCTGCCTCCCTCCTGCACTACTGGCCACCCTCAAGTTTTAGAAGCAAAGCTGATCACCAGGGTTCACTCTGCCTTTCTGCCTCCCATCTCTCTCACTAGAGTGCTTTCCCAAAATCCTGGTCCCTGCCCTACAAAGTCCGCTTCAAGTGACCTTCAATTGTCTATTTCCCTCTGTGCTTGAATGCAATCGCCTGGAATGTCCTGTCAGGTCACAGACAAGGTGAGTTGAATGTAGCACTCTGACTCCTTAACACTGCCCTTTCTAACACTTCTCAGAAACAAAATGAGGGCCAGAGTGGTAGTACAGCGGGGAGGGTGTTTGCCTTGCACGCAGCCAACTCTGGTTCAATCCCTGGTGTCCCACCCCCACCCCTGACCCCCCCCCCCCCCCCCGGAGTAATTCCTGAGTGGAGAGCCAGGAGTAACCCCTGAGCATCTCCAGGTATGATTCAAAAAAGGAAAAAAATGAAAATTCTTCCTATCCCATCACTAACTGTGCCTTTGCCTTAGTTAATAGAAATGTGACTTAATTCACCCTTCACCAACCCCGCCCCCCCCCAACACACACACCCCAGCTCTTCTCTCAAGGGAAAAAGCATCAGTCTTTCCATAGCAGAACAAAACATGCCTCTGAAGGGCTTTCTTTTCTGTACATGAAACAGCCCAAGAATTGTCTTTTCTGATCAATGACACCTTAAATATTTAGTTTGGACTAAGAACCGAAACTCCAGTTTCTATTTGAAAATTTAGTATTTTTCCAAATGGCATAAACCTAGCTCCATTTTTTTTAATCCAAGTAGAAGATGGAATGTCTTAGAAGATGCACAAGGACCAACAATCCACTGCTTCTCAGGCCTCATGTTTCAAATAAGTCAGAAATATTAAGTTACCTAAACCTGAATCAACTGCACAGCCATAACCAACAGACGTGCTAAAATACTCAATGTGGCTGTTGGAAATCTTAATAACCCACTGGCAGATTGTCTGATATTTGCACAATTTCCAGCCACAGGGGCTTTGGTGAGCCCAAACCTGTCTGAAGAATTCTGAAAACCACGAAAGTCACACCAATTTGAGTATGCCCGTGTGGCAACAGGAAGTCACACTGACCACTGCAGCAAAGATTCTCAAATGCTGCTCAGATGCACATTTAAGAAAAAGACTTAATTTCTAGCTGTGTTTATTCTCCTTGTTACAAAGATCGAGTCTGGTCAGAAACAGAGTGCATGAACCCAAGAGGGCTTTCAGAAGACAACAAAAGTTTCCTCCATACCATCCCAGGCGGATAGCACCAGAATTGAGGGCTGAGGGGGCGCTCAGAGACGCCTAGGTGGGATGGAACCAGGCTGAGCTATAGCAGAGACACGCTGAGCCATGTGCATTTCCTCACAGCGCATTCCCACCTGGCACACCTCCACAGAGCTCATCCCCCAGGGCACAAACCTCACAGTTCTCCCCACCCAGGCACACCTCCACACAGCGCAGCCCTCAGGGCGCCGTTCCGCATAGTGCTCTCCCACAGATACACCTCCACAGAGCCCATCCCTCAGGGCACCCCCCCAACAAGGCACACCTCCACACAGTGTATCCCTCAGGGCACATCCCTCAGAGCGACACCCACCCAGACACACTTCCACGCAGTGCATCTCTCAGGGCGCATCCCTCAGGGCGCCTCCCACACAGGCAGGCACACCTCCACACTGTGCATCCCTCAGAGCGTCCCACACACGGGCACACCTCCACACAGTGCATCTCTCAGGGCGTCCCCTCACCCAGGCACACCACCACACACTGTATCCCTCAAGGCGCATCCCTCAGGGCGCCACCCACCCAGACACACCTCCACACAGTGCATCCCTCAGGGCGCAACCCTCAGGGCGCCTCCCACACAGGCACACCTTCACACGGCGCATCCCTCACAGCGGCACTAGGACCACTTGGGGCGCGTCATCTCCTGATGACGCGCGACCACGACCAGACGAGCAGAATACAAAAGGCCTCCACTGGCCGGACGCTGCCGCGGGGACAGAAGCCCGCGTGTAGCGCGCAGGGAGACACAGGGTCCGCCACAAGCGGCGCAGGCCCGAAGGCCGCCAGCGCGCGCCCCGCTCACCTCGTGCCGTGCAGGGCCACCCGAATCTCCCGCGGATCCCAGGGTCCGGCGCGGCCCTCAGGACGCGCCGCGAGCCGCTCGCTCGGCGGGCCCGCAGGTTCTCGGAGGAGCGGCCTCGTGGGCGGGGCCAAGAGCGGGCTGCGGCGGAGTGGTCGCCCAGGACCCGCGGAACGGGCGTCGTCAGAGCCGAACGCAGCCTGCGTGCGGTACTAGGGCCGAACCCGCCGAATGGGCGGGGTCAGAGTCCAACGCAACCTGGTGGGCGGAGTCAAGCGCCGGGACTAGGCCTGGTGGGCAGGGTCTGCGCAGGGACCGCGTGATGGGCGGGGTCAAAACTAAACGCAACAAGGTGGGTGGAGTCAGCGCCGGGACGACGCCTGGTGGGCGGGGTCAGCGCAGGAACCGAGTGGTGGGCGGGGTCAAAGCGAACGCAGCCTGGTGGGCGGAGTCAGCGCCGGGACTAGGCCTAGTGGGCGTGGTCAGTGCAGGTACACGCGTGATGGGCGGGGTCAAAGCTGAACGCAGCCTGGTGGGCGGAGTCAGCGCTGGGACGAGGCCTAGTGGGCGTGGTCAGTGCAGGTACACGCATGATGGGCGGGGTCAAAGCTGAATGCAGCTTGGTGGGCGGAGTTAGCGCCGGGAGGAGGCCTGGTGGGGAGGAGTCAGCGCCGGGATAGGGCCGTGTAGGTACAGTCCGGGCCGCAGACACCCACGGATGGTGCTAATAGGAGGCGCCAAGACCTGGAACCCTGAGTCACTGCCTCCTGCAGTCCCCTGTTTCCCCAGGCTCGAGATCCGCTCGGTAGTGCCCCGAGAGAGCAGACACTCAGAAGTCCACTCTCAGAACCGACTGTCCTTCCCTGGATACAGCCTACCTGGGCTGCTGCCGGCCAGCCGGACCCTCCAGGGGGACGCTGTCTGCGCAGCCGATGGGGACGTGTCCTCCACCACCGCGGGATCTTCTGCAACTCCGGACTGTGGGAAGCTGGACTCTGGGAGGCGATGCGCGGACAAGTGGGCCCCCAGAGCCAAAGGTTCTGGACATCACCAGCTTGTTTTTTTTCCCCCAACAAGGTATTTCCACCGAACGAAACCTGCTTAGAAAGATGTGAGAGGAGAGCAAAAGGGGAAATATGTGTTAAAGAGAGAACACACCGTCTCCAGGATGAAACTAAGCAGGTAAAGAAAGAAGCAAGCAAGATTCATGTTCAAGGGAGAACACACGGGCTTCAAGAGCAAGAAATCTTTAGTGGCATTAAATGATCACAGAATCTGGGCATAGTGAATTCCTTTTATTTCTCCTTTGGCTCTAGAGTTATACTTCACACTCTTAAATTAATGAACCCTTATTGCCTTTCAATAGACCTCTACTAGTGGCTCTCATTTACAGCAACTAAGGGACTAAGTAGTGGTTCTTAAACATTTTATGAAACTAGTCCCTTATCTAAAGTAAGTAAAGGCCCTCCCATTGATCATCGATTTGCTCGAGCGGGCCCAGTAACGTCTCCATTGGAGACTTTGGTGTTACTGTGTCTGGCATATCGAATACAGTCACAGGGAGCTTGCCAGGCTCTGCCGTGCGGGCGAGATACTCTCGGTAAGAGCAGCTGTCTGAATTAACTATAATTAATGTATGCTGAGGGAATCAGCTCACATCAATTTCCGAGTGAGTTTGTGAACAAATTTGGACTTTATTTTGTTCTGTAAATACCCATCCATAAAGGTAAAGGTAAAGGCCCTCCCGTTGATCGTCGATTTGCTCGAGCGGGCCCAGTAACGTCTCCATTGGAGACTTTGTTGTTACTGTGTCTGGCATATCGAGTACTCTCGGTAGCTTGCCGGGCTCTCCGAGAGGGGCGGAGGAATCGAACTCGGGTCGGCCATGTTGGCCGCTTGTAAGGCGGCCAACATGGCCGACCCGAGTTCGATTCCTCCGCCCCTCTCGGAGAGCCCGGCAAGCTACCGAGAGTATTCGATATGCCAGACACAGTAACAACAAAGTCTCCAATGGAGACGTTACTGGGCCCGCTCGAGCAAATCGATGATCAATGGGAGGGCCTTTACCTCGAGCAAACCCATCCATACTTTAGATTAATGACAAATCAGACAATGTACTTATAAAGGACACTGAGAAAGATGAGTCTGCAACAATCAAGAAGAGAGGACCTTCATGCAGCATCTGTTCTCTGGCTGTTGCTCTTTGGATTTTTAAGATCCAATGTATTGCTCCTAATGAAAAGAATTTGATGGCAGATCTACCATCCTCATGTGCTTTCTGAGTGTAGCACTGTAGCACTGTCCTCCCATTGTTCATCGATTTTGCTCGAGTGGACACTAGTAACGTCTTCATTGTGAGACTTGTTGTTACTGCTTTGGGCATATCAAATCCACCACAGGGAGTTTGCCAGGTTCTGCCACGCAGGTAGAATACTCTTGGTTGCTTGCCGGGCTTTCTGAGAGGGACGGAGAAATCGAACCCGAGTCGGCTGCAAGCAAGGCAAATGTCCTAACCGCTGTGCTATCGCTCCAGCCCCCAAACTACAATAATAATCACAGTCACAGTCACAGTCCTCCCGTTGTTCATCGATTTGCTCGAGCGGGCCCAGTAACATTGTGAGACTTGTTACTGTGTGTGGCATATCAAATACATCACGGGAAGCTTGCCAGGCTTTGCCATGCGGGCGAGATACTCTCGGTAGCTTACCAGGCTCTCCTAGAGGGGTGGAGGAATTGAACTCAGGTCGGCCATGCCATGTTGGCAGGGTGCAAGGCAAACGCCCTACTGCTGTGCTATCGCTCCAGCCCACAATAATAATAATTAATAAAAATACACTGGGCCAGGTTCTTGACTTGCTCGCCATTACCCCAGATTTGATTGCCGGCATCCCATGTTTCTCTTAGCACCACCAGAAGTGATCCTGAGTACGGAGGTAGGAATAACCCCTGAACATTGCTAAGTGTTCCCTTCCCCCCCCAAAAAAACCCTAAAAAATTATTTAAAATAAATAAAGGTGTGGTGACCAGTGGTTATCCTAGATTCCATTACGGTACAGCTTGTGGTACATCCTGGATGTAACCAGGCCACTTCCTGCTACATTTGCACACTTGGTTGCACAAACCCCTCTTGTCCAACACAAACCAGATGCCCACTTCTGCCAGGATCTCTTACAGATCTGCATCTCCCAGGATCCAAAAATCTACTGCAGAAGCATGGAACATGGAAAATCAAATGGTCAGCCAAATACTTGCTGATTCCAAGCAGGTGAAGAGGGTAGTACACTGAGAGAACATTTGCCTTGCATGAGGCTGACCAGGACTGAGCCTTCGCATTTCGTAGGATCGTGAGTACCGCCAGGAAAGTTCCTCTAGTGCAGAGCCAGGAATGACTCCTGAACACTGCTGGATATCGATCAAAAAATAATAAAACATTGTTTTTAAAATTATAAATATTTTCCTTATAAAATTATGTTCTGCTCCCAAAGGATTCTCATTCTTGTAGTTAATCTAAACCGTTGATGCCCTTATTATATTTTTTGTCACTTTCCCCTTCCCAGTTTTGACATTGTTGCCATGACGTGGGTACTACTCCCTGGGGGATTCACTTTGCTCGCAATTCTCACACTCTTGGTTGCACTGTGCCAGAGATCATGAGCTTTGTTATGGAACTGGGAACTGCTCTTGACATGTGGGGCAGTTCTGAGGCTTGGACTCTCAGCCGCACCCTTTCTTTCTTTCTTTCTTTCTTTCTTTCTTTCTTTCTTCTTTTCTTTCTTTCTTTCTTTTCTTTCCAGTAATAGAGAAGGTTTTTTTAAATTGAATCACCATAAGATAGTTACAAAGCTTTCATGTTTGAGTTTCAGTCAAACAATGATCAAACACCTATCTCTCCACCAGTACACCTTTTCTACCACCAATATTCCCACTATCTCCCCCCCCCATCCCAACCTTCCCCCTGCCTCTGTAGCAGACAATTTTCCCCATACTCTCTAAGTTAGCCTGACCCTTTCAAGGCAGGCACTCTGCAGTGGAGACATGCCCTGGAAGATGTTACTCAGTGCACAGAGGATGGACATGGCTGTCCCAGTGGGCACCTGTGTTTTACCAGTTCAGTATCTCTCTCTGGATTGTCACATATCAGCTTTCCTCATTGACAGAGGGATGCCACATGGACAAGACTCATAATCTAAAAGATACCTCTCTTTTCAAGGAGAGGGTCTTATATTAGTTTTTGATTGCTCTCCTAACATTTTTCCCCAAATCTAAGGGTTTGATACAATGCAAATTTAGTAACTTGCAGTTCTTTAGGTTAAAAAAAATCTCTGGAGGAAGGTAGCAAAGAGATAACTCAAGAAGGTAGAGTACATACTTTGCATGTCCAAGACCCCAAATTGGGTTCCCAGCACCAAACATCCTACCCCAACCACCCCACACCACATGGTCCCCTAAGCACGGGTGGCCCCCAGAACCCACAGCAGGAAATTACAAGACCAAGCACTGAAAAAACTCGAGGTCATGTATCATAGAGAGTGACCCCGGGCCCCCAGTATCACTGGCAGGCCCCTGTGAAAAAAAATCTCACCGGACTAAAGTCAAGCTGATGGCAAAATAGAATCTTCTATGGAGGCGGTAGGGAAGACCCATTGGCTTACCTTTTCCAACTTCTAAGCATTGCCTAAATATTTTGTCTTATGACCCCTTTCTTCATCTTTCAAAACAGCAAGCCTCAGAAACAATAACATAACCCTATTTCCACATATATGTCTCTCACATTCAACTGGAAAGGCTCCTTCTAAAAACCTCATGCTTGCATTGGTTCTATTCTAATAACCCAAGATTTCATTTTCATTTCATTTCATCATCCTGTTATTCGTCGATTGCCTCGAGCAGGCCCCAGTAACGTCTCTTTCATCCTAGCCCTGAGATTATATTCAAGGCTCTTTAGGAGAATGAGACCCATCATTGTTACTGGTATTTGGCATATTTGGTACACCACGGGGAGTTTGCCAGACTGCCCTGTGGGCAGGCTACATTTGATAGCCTGCATGTTTGTCCAAAGTAGGAATGAGATAATAAGATGTCATAAAAAGATGTCCTGATAAGATGTCGGGTGGCCGCGAATACGGCCGCACGGTTCCGGAAGCTGGAT